CCCATATACACGGGTAAAAAAAAACGCAAAACAAACAAACAAGAAAAAAAACTTAGTGAAGGACTTTTCTTCTCAACTAATCTATCTGAAAGTTTTGTATGAAACTGGTCCATGTTGCACAAAAGGTTGGAGCCCAGCTATTAAGCATTTTAACAAAAAGGGGGGAAAATATTTATTTTAGTTCTAAAATTTGAAAACATATCAGACTAAAATCGGTTTTATAATTCAGATGACACAATTTATTCACTCAAACGGTTTAATAAAAAAATACTTCACATCTGCAGTTCGAGGAAATGACAAACCACCCTTTTATCAGTACTTTAAATGTCAAACAGGCAGGCATCTTGTTAGCTCTTATTGTCATAAAATTAGAAACAGCTGTCTTGTTCTGCCTAAAGGGAGAAGAACTTTACCAAATCCTCTTACAYTTTCCAGCATCTAGATTACCTTTAATGCGCTGTGATGGACTGGCATCCTGTCCACTGTGTACTCTGCCTCCTGCCCTGTGGCAACCGGGAAAGCCCTGTGCCCTGAGGCTAACAGATATATAACACTGGGATTGTTTRTGGATTGTCTCAAAGAAAACTGTGCTTTTTTTTCTGCTCAAAAAATTCATGTTACTAACAAGGTTACACAGTGTAAGCCGGGGGTGGGTATTATTTTGTTTCAGAGCACCGTGCTGACTTAATGTTAGAACAATGCGAGAGCCGTACATAAAGGGAAAAAAGCCTAATGTGTAATGTGAAACCATCTCATTTTTTATTTCCTCTCTTTTCCAATGATTGTTCGTTTGTAGCAAAGTTAGCATGCTTAGTCAAAAAAAAAAAAAAAAATTTCCCGAATGCAGCAAATCTCTCTTGGCACATCGAATATAAACTGTCAAAACATTTAGATGTCACTGCATGGTTAAACAATGAGGCATTTTGAGGTCTGTTTGTTTATCTTTTTGAAGCAATCATCCTCAGCCTGAGTCTGCCGGCAAAGCCACSGACCTCACAAACTCAGAGAAGAGTGAGCGTTTCACACAGTCCAAAAACCTTTAGATTTTCCAAAATGTTTAATTCATTATTTTTCATCGGCCTCAAAAATTTATTAATGACGTGACATTGAAAATGTTCATGCAATTGTGTAGTGAAGGCTGACTAATGAATAAAAAAATAAAATCCATATAGCACTTATCATGTCAATTTTCTTTTAATGGCATACTGAACTGATAAGCCTTACAAGGACTAAACTGGGCTTTTAAGATAATTATTAAAGCTGAATAATTACCTCTGGAGCAGTAAGGTCCTATGAATCCAGGAAAACAGTGGCACGATCCTGCCACACACTCCCCATTCCCGTAGCAATTGTGTGTGCATTCTGTCACCGACTCTGTGAGTGCAAAGGTTTGTAACTTTTATTTCATGAATTGTCAGAAAAAAAAAGGCAGAAATCTGAAATTTCTTAGTAACTTTTAAGAACTACACAGATAATAATAAAAGCAAAAACAAATCAATTTTTATTTCTGCAACATAGATTTTAAAAACTTGGGTTTCTTATCCACAGTGCATGTTTGAAGCAGCGCATATATTTACAGCTGTTTGTCCATGTCCCACTAAGGTCTAAGCCTCCATAACAGTGTACTTCATGCTGACTGTTCCCACCTAAGCCCTGTTAAGCAAAAGCCACAAAAGACATTTTAAATTAGACCAAATAATTCCATGTTTTTGAAACATTTCCCTTCGCTCCTGTTTCTTTCGCCGCCCCAACCCCTTGAATGACTGATCATGCCCACACAAGCCATGCAATCTCCTGAGTGTTTACAGCTCAAATCCTCTCTGAGTTGAAGTTAATCTGACATATCCTACAGACAGATCTTGTGTTCTTTCAACAGACCAACGCTCATAAATCGCGCACCCCCCAGAAGACCGGGGGGCCCTCATTTTGATCGGCGTTAAGAGGGCCAACTTTTATGTTATGACTTCAGCTTGTATTGGATGTTCATTGAGCCACTGTCAGACCCAAGCAATTTTGACCTCACACATCGATACCTTCATATTCGTCGGCCTGGATCAATAGCACTCCCGATGGACAGAAGAAAAAAAAAAGAAAAACGTTAACTTAGCCTTAGTGTTTTTTTTTTTTTCTAGCTCAAAACCCGCAAGGAAATTTCAGACTTCAGAACAGAGAAGAGGTTGTTAGGATGGAAGAATCGATGCTGTGTATGGTCTGGCGTTCTACTACTAAGCGTAATAATCCACTACACTGAGATGTAAACCTTAAGCTACCTCCTGCCTTGCTCGAAGTTTGGAAAAACTCAGCTTGTTTGTGCGGCAGACGGATTTCAGTCTCATTTTTCCTGCTGGCACAGCTGTTTCGGGAAATTAAAGTCTTCCAAACATGTCATTACACAAACCTTCCAATCACGCTTGTTAACCAGCCCATAGCAGATGCGCGTCCTCTTACCCTGGATGATGGTGTTGTAGGAGACGACTTCCATGCTTCGCCCGTCGTTATAAAAGGCAAAGTGCCACACCCCTGAGTCCAGGTACTGGATGAATCCCGCTTGGTGGACGGTGACCGGATGATCTAGCCGAGCTCTTGTGTCCGTTTCACTCAGTGCCCAGTGCTCTTTGGCAATAAGCCGGCTCCCATCCAGCAGCTCAACAAAGTCATACTGGGAAAAAAAACAGAGAGAAGATTTCAATAGATGCAAACGGCTGTTATTTTAATGTCTAGTCCTGGRGTCTGCAACCTGTGGCTYTGGGGCCACAAGTGGCTCTTTGGTCCCTCTGCATTGGCTCTTTGAAAATGTGATCAAACATAACAGAGTGATTTTTTGTTGTTGTTGTTTTTATACTCACAACAGAAATCAATTTGTATGCAAATATGTGAGCAATCCTACAAATAAAAAAGTAAAACATGTTAGCTCACGTTAGCCTGTTGTTTACTTAAATATTCAACTTTTTCTATGATCTTTCTCTCAAATCCATCAGATTACCTTAAAATAATTTGAAGACTACATACAGTAATAATAAGAATTAGGAAAAAAGTATACCTGAATAAATCTGTTGTACTAATTTTTTATGAAATTTGGTATAAACTATATATGGTATTTTTCTTCTTTACATGAAAATGTTCTTTTTATTGTCCTTATGTGTATAATAATAAATAATATAATTATAACAAGAATATTTATTCGGTTTTATAATGTCATCTCCAATGACCATAACAGTTTTCGGAAAGGCCTCGAAAAGGCCCATGGACCACCAGTTGATAATCACATTTGTAGCTTGTTTTGCGGCTCTGGACACATTTTATTAGTGAGACAGGGAGCGCAAATGGCTTTTTTGATCATAAAGGTTGCAGACCCCTGGTCTAGTCAGTTCAACAGTAAACAGCCAGGATGGCTAAAAAAGTACTTTTTTTTTGTTTTGTTGCATACTTTGTATGCAAAGCGAGAGGAGAGGAACTATGCAAAGTTTAAATGCAAGACATAACAGAAGTGGATTGTGTAAACATGACAAAATATTCAAATATTATAAATGTTGATTTTTCTGTGGCAGGCATTCAGAGTTGATAGATGTTGTCTGGAGAGGTGTTTGTGTACTGATAGAACTGATATGGCTCTGAGGCAAATGCAAACGCCGCACTGTGAACTCTGATGGGACTCTGCAATCCATAACATGTTTATTACAGTCTGTTCAATTAACTTTGATAATGCGGTGTGCAGATGACTCGAAATTCAGATCGGTTCACTGCTGGGGTCACCTACACAGCAGAAACATTTATGTAGCATTTCGTTTCATTTTGTTGGCACAAATTACTGTTACGTTGCACATTTGAGTGGTGGCCTGTCATGAAACGGTTATGTTTATTCATAATTGTTTTTTCTCATTTCTTGAATTCTAAAGAGACACATTGACCACAGCACAAAACACACAATAAAAGATAAATAAATTACAAATAAATGTAACAGGCTTTCAAGGCATTGTTTTCTTCAGTTATTTTGGGGATTCAGCATGATAGCATCTCTAGGTTTTTTTTTTTCCAAACAAACATTGATTTAGAGGGTAAACAAGGAGGAACGAGTTATTCCTACCAATGAGTAAAGAGGTGCATCTGCTTTCAATGCACCTGCCCAACACCTGAACCCCATTTTGACTGGAGCTCAGGCGCACAGCAGAAAACAGGGTAAAGCATACAGTAGAAAACAATCCCCAAACAGGCTGCGGGCTGCACAGCAGCACAGCAGATGTAGACAGCAGATCCCCGGGCTAAAGCAGTTGTTAGCTACACAGATGAACCGAGGCTGTGAAGACCGAGGGCTGGAAAAAAAAAAAGAAAGAGAGTCTGTGGGCTGCTTAGGAGTGTGATGCATACAGATCGGCTCTGTAGCTGGTTTTTATAAGAGCCGTGTTTCAAATCCAGCAATGAGGCTGTTTATGTAGAGCTTTGATGAGCCATTGGTTTTGAGTTAAAACCATTCCTGACATACTCCTTTACAGGGGCTGCATAACACTATAATACGAGAGGAAACAAGATCAAAAGAAATGCATTTACAAATTAAGTTAACCAATTTGCATAAATCTCAAATGTTTTTTTTTTCTTAAGCGGGATTGCTGTAGCTGTAGCATCCATAAAACAATGATTTAATTGATTTTAAGACCACAGGCAATCAAATATCTCAGTAAAAAAAAACATAATAATGTGCAGTAATTGATCAATTATTTTCTGAATGAATGCAATATCAAACCTAATGAATACACAATGCACTTTAAATGATTGGAMATAAAACAGGATTTWAAAAAAAAMAACAAATGGGAATGTGATCAAGCAGCTGTTCAGTTTGCTGGCAAACAACAGGAAGAAGCAGGAGAAGTCAACATTCTGATTCAAAGTCTTTGTGCAGAGCGGTGAGGGTTGGGTAGAGATATTAACCTGGCGGAAGTAGACTTCTTTGTATTGTTGACTTGAGGGGAAAGTAATAAAACAGTTCATCCCACAAGCCCTAACCCCCATGGCCAAGCGCATACATCTTGATTAGGTGCCGTGAAAGCCCCTCAACTCATCTCAATCCAACAATGCAGGTGAAAAACAGTCAAGAGACCGAGCGCGCAGAAATGCCCCGTGGATCGAGAAGGAAAACAAAAAATCCTGCAAATTTCCCAGCATTTGAAATGAGTGAACCTAAGAGTTGTACAACTGAGGACAAACTCTGAGGAAGAAGGGAAAAAAAAGTTTGTTTCTTCCAACTTGTCTGGTTTGTATCATCACAGACAGACATTCAATAGAAAATGGAGGAAGTCTATATTTGACAAAAGTGGAAAGGTTGTTGCACTTAACTGCTGTCTTGTCTTCCAAGCAGTGAATACGACCAACAGTCAATATCTCTCATTGGGGTCTTTCATGCTCAGTTAAGTAAATGCATTGATTTGTTCCCCCAGTACCTGAGCAGAATGTAATTTAGAAGTTGGCACAATGGACACAATGTCCAGCATTGACAAGCAGGAGTGCCTGAATAGCAAGAGGTTGAGACATAAAAATAGCGTCTTGTTAATTAGTAGGCTTTGGTCTTTGATTTTTGTTGGATTACCATTATTTTTTTTAATGCATTTATTTGTTTGCCTTTGAAGTGGAATCCAATTCACTTCCTGTTTCGCTGGACCTTCTTCCATTTGAGTGTCGTGTCACCCTCACAGTTTACACTTGAGGGAGATTGTCGAAAAGGTGAAGCTAAAGCTTTCTTCAGTCAAGTGTGGTGGAAAATAACCATTGTCTGAGAGCTTTCATCACACATCAGACATTTAGATGCTCGAAAAAGTCATTCAAAGGATACGTCGGACATTTCGGAAACACTCCAGTTTGCAAATAACGGATATTTTAGTGGAAGTGAAACCAGCTCCACTCACTTGCCAACTCAGGAAGGAGAACAACTCCACGATAAGTTATTATTCCCGGGTGAAAAGATAATCCACGTCCGCGAAACAGCAAATTCATTATAAGGAACGAAATATTAAAGAAAAAAATGTAGACATGTTTTCAATAACAATGTGAATGAATGAGCAAATAAACAAATAAATCAATTAMATGAAAACAACATGGAAAAAATAACCTTTGTATATCATAAACATATAAAGACAAAATAATTAATGGTTGAAAATGAGTTCTGCTATTGTTCATTTTTTTTTCCAATATGTAAAAGGTAAACACTATGAAAAAACTAATCAAATAAATAAATAAATAAATAAATAAGTTCTTGAACAATATCAAACGATGCAGTTTGAAAGACTTTACTCCGGTGTTTTATATCGTTGTGCGAATCTCAAATGTGTACATGCGCTCAATGCAAACAAAGCAGTTTTATCAGYGTGCTTTACTCAACAAATCTGAGCATAAATCCATACAAATACATCCAAAATTGTCTAGTTTCTCACTCCCAAACAGCTCTTCGTTGGACACGTCGTCGTTTTCTAGCTTTCAGTCACTTCGGCTGTTTCCATTGATAAACAAATATATGGAAGATTTGGCACCCAAATGTTGCTTTTTAAATTTTAACTTAAAGACTCAAACATCAATATGAAAAAATATTTATTTATTTATTTATTTATTTATTTATTTATTTATTTATTTATTTATTTATTTATTTTGTTAATAGCTTTGGAGAAGGGTGGGATTAAATACGTTTTTTACTTCTTCCCATTCCTTTTCAAATATGTTAATTTTGTTATCACTTTTTATTACTTTTTGTTTTGTATATATGTTTGAAATAAACTATACTAAACTAAATTCATTCATTCATTCATTTTTGACCAATATGTAGGACGTTGTGAAGTCAAAAAAAACCTGTCTGATTACAATTATTGATCATTTCTGGCAATAGGTCAGTGTGTGTTTTTTTTATATTAAAATAGTATATATGAAAAGTTATGTCTTTTAGATAACAGCAAAAAAGTACACAACTTAAAAAACAACAACAAATAAAAAAAATTCTTAAATCCAACACAAACATTTTTTGTATAATTACGTAAAATAAAATTTTCTCAAAATCTGACCAATAACTATTACAGAATGATAGAAAATGATTGGGTCTACAGTGTTCTACAATTTGCACATACTGCGATAGAAAATGATAATTKGACTGAACTTAATAGAGCGTTTCATCAAGCCCCATGGGGACACCAAAGTGCTTTACACTACAGTCATTCACCCATTCACACACTGATGATGGTAAGCTACATTGTAGCCACAGCTGCCCTGGGGCACACTGACAGAGGCGGGGCTGCCATGCACCGGCGCCACCGGACCCTCTGACCACCATCAGTATAARGCAGGTGAAGTGTCTTGCCCAACGATTGAGACAGCTTGAACGGGGGACAGAACCGGCAACCCTCCAGTTAAGCTCCTTACCTGAGTGTGAGATGGTGCAAGACCCTTTCTTCCGTACACTCCTATCAGCGCGCTTCTCTGTACTGAGATGTTGAACTTAAGAAAGCGTGGTTGGTCCATGTTCAGCTGAGAGCGCCAGAACACCCCCGGTGGGACGCTCTGAGCCACTCTCTTCCCAATGTCAACCTGCCCCGTGTCAATGGAGTTGTTCTCGTGTTGAAAGATGCCAGTTTTCCCTACAAAACASAAACATACCCAACCATTCATGAGGGAGCAAATGAATAAATAAATATGAAGGAATTTATTAGTTATTTAGATRCTGATTTTAAAAGCATCACACCGTTTTAYAGTTTTCCTTATTAAGTATTGACTTTTATAATCTATTGTTTGACARTTGTTATGTCTTGATTAAAACAGTTTTAGTTACATGCCTGAAACATCATGACAMCACATAGATAAACCGTTAATGAAACATAAGGACAGGATTTCTGTTTRAGTGCCTGAGATTCAGCTGTAGGCCTGTAGGGGGCGAACCAGGCACTGAACAACCACGTTAAAAAGGGGGGCACTTCCGGTTTCCCGGCAGCGCTGGTTTCATGCTTCAGCYGTAAGCATTAAATCACCATTCAGACTCCAGTACTGGTGTTGTATGGCCATTCTCTTCACATTTTAATCTATCCAACATTCATGTGGTTTTGTCACGATTTCAGTTAACGAACACTAAATTTTCTTACAAATAAATAAAACAACAACAACAAAAGAAAAGCAAAGTTAGGGTGACTTGATTTGATCCAGTTCATCAAGTAAATCTTGTTCAATCACTTCATTGGCACAGTTATGGTTTTTATATCACTTTTTGATTCATGGCTGTCTTTAAAAGGCCCATTGTTTCTGTTGCTTGTCGTTGTAATCTCCTAATTAGGGTGGTACATTACCAATAAAGCACCATATCGTTTCCAAATTAGCTGTGACCAAGCACAAAATTAAAAGCTGTTTTTCTAAGGCCTGTTTGCTGGACGATAACAGTACATATTAAAATGACAAGCTATATAATTGTGTTTTAAAACGACTAACAGGTCAAATCCCCCATCTTCTTTCAGGTCCTTGTGACTCATCGAGTTGGGCTTTATATCAGATAAGGTGCAAATGGAATCTGTCAGACACTTAGAGCTGCCTTGCCAGAGCAATAACTGCAAATCAAAACAATTTGCCGAATGATGTCCTTCAACCGTGTCCTTATAGTCCCATGATTTTCTCGGGAGTTATATGGTCTGTGGTCACCTGAACAATTGTGATSTTCAATGTGCCATTACCTGAAAAAAAAATATTGTTAAAAAGAAAAAATCTACAAAGTCCTTGGCCGGGGAAGGAATGCATATAGAAGATACCGAGCAAAGCTAATAACTCATGCAGCGCTTTGCTAACCCACCTTAAGAAGCATTACAGAGTGCAGACACATGTATTGTAGCTGTGGGTATATCTGTTTGTGCCAGACCTCCTTTATTTGCATGCCTCAGTGTTGGGTGTGTAATGAGGCCATTGCCTGTCACTTCCGCTTCAGTCAAAGTGAGGCTTGGAAGCCAAGTTTACCTCTGGGGAGAATAATAGCTGGCTATTGATTGCCTTTAAACAGTCCAAAACCTGCCTCATGCTATCTTAATTAGCAGTACTTATGAGGATTTAAATCTAGCTGAGTTTAAACAATTGAGCTTTTGCCTGGCCTGTTCAACTCAATTAATGCTTTCGTGGTTGTGCATTTTAAATACCATATTGTGCTTCGATGTTCATTTGGTGGCTTTTGCTGTAAAGGTGAGCTGAGATGGCCAGCTCGCTTGTTGATGAAAACCACAACGGGCYAAAATTATATGTAGGGACTACAAAAACAGTTTGAAGTCAGTCGACTGATTTCCAAAAGGTTGAGAGGTCCCAAAAAAAATTCTCATGACTCAGCACCGAGCGGAACGCAGAGGGCAAACGCTTCGCAATTCGTTCCTCCTAATTGTCATTTGAAACTTTCCTTGATTAAATTCATTTGCACCTTGGTGCTTTAAAAATCCCCAAACCCATTAAGACTGGTTTCAGTGTACGTGTTTATGTCCCTTTTAAATCTTTACATATTCCTTTTTTAGACCACAAACAAAAGCAATTAGCTGGTTCTTATTAAAGCCAAATGCAAATGTAGAACGTGTTGTTGCTGTTCAAAATATGTAGGAACAAATGATAACATCAGGTTAAAAATAACAATTCATATTAAAAGGGTGGTGGCGGGGTTTCAATTTTATTTATTTCCCCTTTTTTTTCCAAACAAACTGACACTCTGTAATAAGAATACCATCACTTAACATCAAAAACCASTCTGAACGTGGATATTTCAGTTCTATGCTTTGTGTTTAGTTTGGTGTTTTATGCAAGGTAAAGTATTCTCATTTGTATTTTTGTTCATTTGCACTTCTAAAGCAGCTCTTATCTGTCAGCATTTGATCACACACCTGTGCTGCTAAAAACAACATAGTATGATACAAGCAGGTATTTTTTTCTACATTTGCCTCATTTCTGTATTTCTTATAACTTTCTTGTTCTAAACAATTTTACTTGCTGCTTGCAGTTTTGTAAAACATATTTTCAAACAGTGGCAGTTTGGCTGCAAATCCTTTAGATAACTTCACTTCCTTTGTCCATTTGCTGGCCTTGTAGACCATCTTTATTGCTTTTATTGCTTTTACTTTGTGCAAAGTGCTTTGTTCAGTAGAAGCAGTTTTAAAATAAATGTTATAAATAAATTTGATTTGATTTAACAAACCTGAACATTTTACTTATTGCAAACAAGAAACAGTCACACACACTAGATTGACTCTTCATGCAATTATATTTCTAATGAAAAGATCATTTGATACTGAAGGATTTCTTCTGTTGCAGTACAAACGCGCCCACAAAGAGAGGAGACTCGAGCTCAAACAAATGGCGCTCCACATGACTTCAGAAGGCAACAGATCTGTGATCAGCTGGGCGAGTAAGAAGAGCACACGGACCAGTTGTTGCAAAGTATTCATTTAAAAGACACAACCATAGTAGAGACAAGTTTTTTATTAGTTTTATTATAACATCATTGGTATTTTTACAGGGGTGTTGTATTGTAAAGGTCCAGATACTAATTACTGTTTATTGGATCCACTTTAAGAGACTTCAGATGGTTATAGGAAGTCTTCAGTCAGAGGAGACAAAAACCCAAGGCTGAGGTTTGGTGTTCACATTCTGTTTAAACATGAAGGATGGTTATGGTATGGTAATTATATTGATTCATCATGTTTTACAGTGTTATTCTGTATGGTCTTTTATAAGTTTAGAGCATCTGCCTCTTTGAACGTCTCTGCACAATTCTGCTTCAGCATATTTATGACTTTGCTTTTCAGTAATATCTGTTCTGTTAGAAAAAGCAGAAGTATTTAAACATCTGCTCTTATACATGCATTTCTATATAGTTTTTTATTTTACTTACACACACACACACACACACACACACACACACACACACACACACACACAC